GGGGGGGGGGGGGGGTGGCACTGACGCCTGCCACTGCAGGTCCGCAACCAACGACTTGTACTGCTGGTCGGCAGTGGCCAGCTCCACACGCATGCTGCGCAACCAACGACTTGTACTGCTGGTCGGCAGTGGCCAGCTCCTCACGCATGCGGCGCACCGTGCCCTCAAGCTTGGCAACGCCATCCCTCCATCCCGAGAGCTTGTCCACTTTTCTGTCCAAGGCCTTCTCCAAACGAGCCGCAGCCGCGAACTGCTGCTGCGCGCGCTGGTGGAGAGGCGTGGGAGGCTTGGGCAACTCTTGAGCATGAAGTTTCTTGAGCTCAGCCTCGTACTTGGATGCCGTGGAAAGGTCACCTCCTTTGCGCGCGAGCTCAGCCAGCTGATTGGCCTCGGTCGCGTTGAGCTGGCTCTGCGCTCCGACTGGGAGCGGGGGTGCCTTGGCAGCTGAGCCTCCAGGATGTCCTCCTTCGTGTGCAGCACCAGCGAACTGTCCAGAACCACCTGGGAGCCCTGAGGGAGGACGAACTTGCATGGCCCATGGCGCCGTCGGTGAGAAGACGCCAGGAGGAGCCTGAGACCACGCCCCACTCTGTGGGGCTCCACCTTCAACGGGGCGCACAGCAGCAAGAGGAGTCCCACAATGCTTGCAGTAGCGAGACGCCTTCGGGTTCTTGGCGCAGCCGCAGGGGCTGCACTTGAACTGGGAGAACCCTTCTGCAGTCTTGTCCGTGTATATGTAGGCGCTACTGTAGTGCCATGGGGGGGCCGTGCCGTTGGACCTGTCCTCTCGACCGCGTCCTTTGCCACGCCCTCCACCTTTAGCACCACCATTGCGCTGGGTAGGCGGGGGTGTCATACACCCCGAAGTCAATCACTGAGTAGAACCGATCCAATGGCCCGTTGACGCAGTGTGCCGCTCTGAAGTTCGCGCCAACAAGCACAAGATTTTGTGCCAGAACGGCTGAGGAGGAAAAGGAGGAAAAGGAGGAGGAGAAGGAGGAGGAGGATGAGGAGGCGCAGGAGGAGGGGGAGGGGGAGTGGGAGGAGGGGGAGGAGGATGAGGAGGAGGAGGGGGGGGGAGGAGGAGGAGGAGGAGGAGGAGGAGGAGAGGAGGAGAGGAGGAGGAGGATGAGGGAGGAGGATGGGGAGGTGGTGGAGTAAGGAGGAAGGAGGCGTAGGAGGATGAGGAGATAAGGAGGAGGAGGATAAAGAGGAGGAGGATGCGGAGAGGAGGAGGCGGAGAGGATGAGGAACACCAAAATAATTTGTTTAGCCATTCTACTAATCGTAATAGGTACGAATAACCGAGATATGGGGACGATAAGACGAAGTGCTACGAATACTATAAGGCCCATGGCGACGAACGACGCTGCGAACAAAACGAACGATCTCCCAACATAATCGTCATTCGATACAACAATACGAATTAATCATAAGGCAACAATGCTATTTTATAGTGTTGGCGAATCATATTAGTCGTAAGTATACGCTGCAGTAGTAATAATAAAGAGGAGGAAATCCTACTGATACTACGAGGACGAATATTGGAGAGGCCTGACGGCCGGTGCCGCCGACCCTGATCGAAAGGGCTAGGAGTGAAGGGAGGAAACGGAGGATGAGGAGGAGGAGGAGGAGAAGGAGGAGGAGCAGGAGGAGGAGGAGGAGGAGGAGGAGGAAGAGGAGGAAGAGGAGGAGGAGGAGGAAGTGCATCCTTTGTGTGCCCGCTCGAAGAAAGTGCGCCCCGGGAGTGTGATATTCTGACTTGGGACGTGCTCCCGGAAGAGGAAGAAGTGCATCTCGGGCGTGCCTGCTCGAGGAAAATGCGCCCTGGGGGGGTGGTATTTTGACGCGGGGCCCGCTCCCGGGACGCCTCTGCGGGAGGAGGAGGAGGAGGAGGAGGAGGAGGAGGAGGAGGAGGAGGAAAAGGAAAAGGAGGAGGAAAAGGAGGAGGAAAAACAAGAGGAAAAAGAGGAAGAAAAGGAGGAGGAGGAGGACCAGGAGGAGGAGAAGTGCATCCCGTGCGTGCCCGCTCGAGGAAAGTGTGCCCCGGCGGGCGTCGTATCTGCCTGCCGCCCCCCCCCCCCGCCCCCTCCCCTTCCCCCCACCCTGCGGGAAGAAATCAAACGGAAGGGCTTCCCTTCGATCCACTACGACGTCGTATCATTTCGCTCTCTTGAGTGAGG